TCTCAACAAAAATCTGTCGACTAAAATTGAACGATGTTATAATATTTGATTTACTAAAAGGTACAATTATTATTACATTTCCCCTTGTTATAATTTTTTAGAAATAATATGCGATATATTCCCGTTATATGTAATCCGAATTTATAACATAAATGATATTGTGTTTGTCCAAAATCTATCTCAGTGATATGTTGTGTTTTACTGTTTTAGGCAATAACATGTATCGCAAATGAAATATAGCATATAAATACTTGTAAAATATAACAGATAAATACAATACTCGTTTTTTATCAGGAGGATGCAGCAGAAGTAAAAATCCCAAAATTTTAATTTTTTATTATAAATGATTAAATTATTAAAATATAATACAAGTATTTTAATTTAAAAATTAAATGTTAATATTAAATTTAAAAATTAATTATCTCTTAATTTGACAATGTTGACCTATAAATGAAAGTGTAAAATATATATAATATATATAATATTTATTTTAATTAACATTTTTTATATTTTTAAAATAATAAAAAAATATAAGACAAAAAATTAAAGTACTAAAAAATGTTGTTAAAAGAAATCCATATTATAATAAATAATATTTAATAAAATAAATTTCTTATATACACTATCCTCATAAAACATTTAGCCTCTCAAACTCATCTCTTCCATTCAGTCTCCTAACCAGTGTTGTCGGTGTTGTTTCATACCTGTCGATAAGGTCGATTCGTATTAGTTTTTTAAGTTAATCAAAATAGTATAAGTTTAAATTTTGTTTTAATTAAATTTTGAGAATTTCAATTAAATTTTGGTATACTGACCAAATTTTGGTGTATGACCGGTACATCAAAATTTGACCGATACAACTTATGTCCAATTTTTTTTTTTTAAAAAAAAGGATTCCCTAGCCAAAACAACATTGTTTTGGCTAGAGGCTTTAATTCACCCTACAATTTCAGATTGTACATCTCTCTTCTTCTTCTTCACGAACCTCATCTTGACTCGTCACCAATGGGCTGGTGGATGCTTTGTTGCCACTGTTTTCTCTTTTCATTTTTTGTTTCACAAGCCCTAGATGTTGGAGAGTGATTCAATTGTTCTTCCTTTTCTTTTTCAATTGTTCAAGTATGAGTGAAAATCTTGATTGTTATCTACCTTTCCTTCTCCTTTCCTCTCGTGGATCTTCCTTCTTTTACCTTTTCTTGGTCCTCATTTCTCTTCCATCTTTTCTTCCCTTTATGTTTTCTACCCTCTTTCTCCCCATTCGTCCTTTAATTTCCCTTCTTTACTTTAACTTTTCATCTTTTTATTTTTTTGTAGATCTAGTAATATTTCACCTTTGTCTACTTTAATTCCTTTCCCACAGTTTTCCCTTTTATCTCCTTTTGCCTTCTAAAAGTTTCTTTAAGTTTGATTGGAAGACATATGGGGATGAAGAGGAAGAAACGAAAAAAAAATTTCAACTCTATGTATGTATTGAGTTAATAAGTGCTCGAACCATGGGATTGTGGAGATAGCATTAACTTGTCTCAATAGTTAAGTTTTCAATTTAGAATTTCAATTTATTAATTAAAGATAATTAATAATGTTAATTTAAGATAATTAATAATGTTAATTTTATTGTTTATTCATAATTGTTCCTTGGTAAAAACAATTGAAGGATCGTTGTGATGAACCCATTTAGGTATTTGTTTCTATGATTGTAATATGGATGACAATTGCCCCCTTTTTCTTTTCTTTTTTTTTTTCTAGCTCACATGGGTAACAACTAACTAGTGAAAATTTGATGCAATGTGTTTGAAATATAGAAAAAAAAGGCTTTCCATCATTGAATCTTTTTAGTTTTTCTAAATTGAATGGATTTACTATCATTTTTTGAGTAATTATCATCATTTTAATGTCTTTAAACTTAAACCATCCAAAGGACCTTTGCTTGGGTTATAATGGGGCTTAGGTTAATAGTTGAAGAAAGAAATGATTGTTATTAGCTCAAAAGGTGTTTCCAAATCTTGTCTCCAATTACACTAGTTTCTCTTATAATTATTTTAAAATTTGATATTTAATTTATAAAAATATATATTTATAGTAATAAATCCAAAATAGTACACGAAAAGTTTCAGTATTGGTACGTACCGTTTCAATAGCAAAACTGATACATATATCGATAGGATATTGACAACTTTCCTAACTCTACTCTTCTACTTTCTTTGCCTCTTTGGTTTTTTGGTGAAAAAATTAGAATTGTTTCTTTGTCTACGTTCATAAAAAATATAAAAAGAAATCTATTAAGTTTATAGACCTTCACATATATATTGCACTATAACATCTTGTTTCTCATCAATATGAAATGTTTATACATCACTCAACTCAACTCCACTTCATATGTTCAAATACTCCAACAAGAACAAGATTCAATCAACCCCTGTTCTTCCTTCTCCCTGGTAAACTCATCATTCTTGATCATATCTAGCATACCTAGAATCAATCCATCATGCTCCAGAATCCAATTCATAAATGTAGAAAATTGCACAATCCTTCATTTTCTTGATATTAGAAGAAAAAATTTATTTATACATAAATTTTATAAGTTATATTAACATAAAATTTTATTTATTTATCTCTTAATTTTTAATAATTAAAAGTTATCATAATTTTTTTTAAAAAATAATTATCATTAATAAATATAAAAAAAATAAGTAAATTTTAATTAAAAAAATTAAAA